GTGGGAAGTATATATATTCTTGACCAGGATCACTAGCCGAGTCGATCTAGCCATGTGCGTCTGTCCGTCTGTCTGTCCATCCGTATAAACGCTGTGATCTCGGACACTACATAACCTAGAAAGTTGGAATTAGGCATGCAGACTCTAGAGATTATAAAGCTGTGCAAGTTTATTTCAGCAATGTGCCACGCCCTCTCTAACGCCCACAAGCCGCCCAAAACTGTGGCTCCTACAGCTTAAGTGCTAAAAGCACTTCCTCGTCAATACCCATCGATTGACCCACGCCCACTCTAACGCCCACACCCAAGAAAATATCGTCATCAATATGCTATTAAGGTGTCAATTGAGTGTCAAAAAATCTTTGATAATATAGGTGTCGGGTCGGTGCGGCTTGATCGATGAAATAATTGAAGCCCCAAGATCGAGTGGTACGGTAAAAATACGCAGGTACTTTTGGGGTTTTTACGCGACGTGCGTAGATGTTTATTGTATCACTTTGAAACAAGAACTGCTTAAGCCTAACTTAACTTAAGCGCTCCAGAGCAGAGCGGAGACTTAGAGGAGAGATGGAGAGGGAGAGCGGACGGCAGTGCGAGCGCGCGAGATGTAGACATCTGGATAAAACTGCCGCTCGACACTGCCTCCTGAAATTAAACGCCCTTTTGGCGTGAACATTCTCCCCCCCCTTGCGAGGACACCCGTAGCAAGAACCTCAGGATAGTAGGCTCAGGAATATGTTGGAAGTATAGATCGGTCGTCCGTATGTAGGAGAGTGTGGTGGGCCTTTCCACACTTGTGGCAGTGATGACCACTGCGGCAGGAGTCCTTGGAATGATTGTGAGCCAAGCAATTGGAGTAGTACTTCTGGATATGTACTTCCTGAAGCCGATTCTGGGGGCTTAGCCGTAGAAAGTGGTGGCACTTCCGTAGAGGATGGATCTTTTGGCAGACTCGGCATTGGTAGGATTTAATACCTCGAGTACGTCTGCCATCCAAGGCGGGGTATGGAACCCAATATTCGGATGGAGTATTCTTAGGAGGAACTTTTTGTACGGAAACTTGCGTTGAATAGGACGAAATGATGTGTGGCACTGAGGCGGATACTGGCCTTGGAGGGTCGGATGGAATCGTCGGAGTAGTAGGACCGCTGTTTCGATGCAGCAATGTGTGATGCCGATCTTGGCAAGTGAGACAGTTGTGAGCGCTTGTGCAATCCCGGAATTGATGGCTACTTGCAAAGCAATTGGAGCACAACTGCTTCCTTTGGATATAGGCTAAGCGATCTTCTACCGTCATCTGTAGGAAGCGTGGACATATACGCACGGGGTGGTTCTTCTTCGAACACAGATCGCAGCCTTTGGTTATCGGAACTAACCTTGTGTTGAAGGAATTTATTTTTGGAAATTCTGCCTCTCGATTTGTGTCTTTGGACTGGACGTGGTGGAAATTGGAAGATCGGAAGCTATCGACGGCCTCAAGAGTTAGATGGCGCTCCGTCAAATATGCATCAAGCTCAAGCCACGTAGGAATTTCGGCTTTATTTTGGATGGATTGCTCCCATAAGGAGAGAGTGAGCTTTGGTAGTTTTGTCGAGCACATATAAACCAGGATAGGGTCCCAATTCTCAATATTAACACCGGAAAATTTTAAGGAAGTTAAGCAACCTTGAAAAGTGCGTTGAAGTTCCTTTAAGGCTGCTCCAGACTCCTGTGCTATGGATTGCACATTGAAAAGTGTTTTCACGTGACTGTTCACCTGCAATCGCTTATTTTCGAAACGCTCAGTTAGATTATTCCAGGCTGAGCGAAAGCCATCATTGGTGAGTGGGGATCTCGAAACTATGGAGTGAGCTTCGCCACTTGTTTTTGAGTTTAAATGGAATAATTTTTCAACGGGCGTTAGACTCGGATTGTCTATGTATATTGCCGTGAAAAGGTCCCGGAAAGTCGGCCAGCGAAGATAATCGCCAGAGAAAACCTCTGTGTCGATAGGAGGGAGCCGACAGCCATTAGACGTGGAATTTTGGGACGGAGTTACTGGAGCTTGAGGTATTTGGGAGGAGCCCTTTTGGATTTGTTCCATCAGCTGCGCGGCAAATATTTCGTAAGTGGAGTACGTTTGGTAATACTTGGACTTTAGTATAAATTTTGTGTCTGCGGCGCTCTCGCCTGCAGCTATAATGCAGTCGGAGCATATGTCGTATGCTGCCTTTACCGTTTGCCACAAGGAATTGAGGTGATCGCGACGGATTTTATAGGCGGATAACGTTGGTGTAGGAGCACCTGAAGCGTTCACAGTGGCCTCAATGTGGATCAGACAGTCAGCTGTGGCCATAAATCGGGTTAAAGCGGATTTTACTGATGTTGCCATGACGTTAAATAATTTAGAATTTTACTTCAGATGTAAGGAAACGGATTGGAATCAAATTGGAATTTAGGAACCAATTAAGATTGTAAATATATACGGTCACACTGTCGGATAGGCAATAAATATTTATTATATCGGATGGTCGTACTTATGTAAGTAATTACGGACTTTAATAATGTTTGTTTGAAAGGAACACTTTTTGTGAGCTCTTGACCCACTGTGCACTGGCGATATACGTATGTATGTACACTGTACATATGTACATATGTGGGGTGCGAATAGCGGAATAACGTTGCGGGAATGGGAAAGACTTCGCTTATGTTTGTATGTCGGTGCGTTTGTTTGTCACCTGCACAACTAAATTGCAAACGATTTGCTGGAGTAAATTTGTGGATATTGTCACTTTGTTATTAATTTTAGAAATAGTTTAGCCGTATTTGTAGGTCGAGAAAAGTAGTTGGAGTGGACTGTATTAGAAAGAGTAGTTAGAGTGGGCTGTATTAGAATATTTATGTAAATATACACACGCAGCTGGAACACAGTAAAAAATAAGGAGTGCAAATCTTAAGGAAAAATTTTATGACCGGGAATTTTTTACTGCGGCTGAGTTATATTTTACACACGATTGGAATTGAAAATATATTTGACAAATATTTTCGTTGAATAGTAGCACTGAAATATTTACTGGAATTGTTTCAAGTGTGCAACTGTGGGCAAAGGAAACTGGAATATTGTCGGGCACAAGTAACGGAATTGAAATACATATATTAAATGCCGTTGCGTCGGATTAATCTCTTTTGGATTTAGACAATATATCATACAGAAAGTTAGTCGAAATAGGGTTCGAAAAACTGGCTGTATGACCGGCAATTATAGTAAGCGGAACTTATCTGGAGTGTTTCAAGCCTGCTGGGACAAAATCAAAGGAAACTCCAGGAGAGGAAAGTCCAAAGATTTTGAAATCCGGCTCGAAGGACCAAAATGTCGGGGCGGTGCGGCTTGATCGATGAAATAATTGAAGCCCAAGATCGAGTGGTACGGTAAAAATACGCAGGTACTTTTGGGGTTTTTACGCGACGTGCGTAGATGTTTATTGTATCACTTTGAAACAAGAACTGCTTAAGCCTAACTTAACTTAAGCGCTCCAGAGCAGAGCGGAGACTTAGGGGAGAGATGGAGAGGGAGAGCGGACGGCAGTGCGAGCGCGCGAGATGTAGACATCTGGATAAAACTGCCGCTCGACACTGCCTCCTGAAATTAAACGCCCTTTTGGCGTGAACAATAGGATCACTTTGACACTTAGAAAAAGTTTTCTACGCTATTTTTTTTTTTTGAAATCTGAAAACATTTTAAATACGACTTTATTATTAAGGAAATGTAAGATATTATTCTTACAAATTTTACAGCGTACTCTGCATCGGCGCGTAATTGAACCGGGGACCTTTCGCATCAGAGACAGACACCTTACCCATTGGTCTTTTGCACAACGTTTCCCGCTGGTGTTTGGTTCAAGTGCCATGATAACCGATACTTGAGCGCAGTTCGAAACTCAAACCATCAAAAAAAGCTTTTATCGGTATCGAAGTATCCACGGTTGTTGTCAAATTGTCAATGTAAAATACTTTTGATACTTATGTGGGATCAAATTGATCCCAATAACTTCATCCTAGGTGTATTGTCACTTTCACCCTTCTTATCAATTTGACACTCAAAGATTTTTTTTTGTTTCAGTTGTAATCCAAGAAAAGCAAATTTAAATGTATTGTAATAACCTAAAAAAAGATTTCCACGCCCACTCTAACGCCCAAAAAACTTCCAAAGAAAAAAGCAATGACGTCTGAGCCAGAAAATATCAAATGTATTATGCATGTGTGTATGTAAATAGTTGCAGGCCTAACTACGCGGCAAAGCGTAAAGCGATGCAAGAGGTAATAGATAGCAAAAGTGTGCGGGTAACTTATTCTATTTAACAATTATCAATTTAAGCAATTAGTCCTTTTTGTCTCCCCCTCTATCTCACCAACAAAATCAATACCAATTGCAATTATCTAGTTACGATTATGTTCAGTTAAAATACTGAAAAACAGTGGTGTGGGCGCGGGAGGGTGCTTCTCGCTCTATGGATTCCCATTTCTCCATTCTGACCTGCAGTGCATTCACATAAGCGAAACAGAAAGAGACTAAAGATCGTTTATCTATCACTGATAAAAAAACGTAGAAAATTTAAAAATTTCATATTCAACCCAAATATTTTTCGCTTCGATTTTCATCCATTGCGGTTTTTGTTAACTTTAAATATGCGCATATTAACTTTTTTCCATATTAGATTTTAATATTTTCGGAATAGTCATATTTAAATTAAATACAATGCATATTTATATTAAATAAAATGACTATTTGATTTTAAATTTTAAAAATTTGAATTAAATAGTACACGTGTTTAATATAAATTTTAATAGTTAAATGAATAACCGAAATGTTAAAATTAAATATAAGTCATATTAAGATTCAATACTAGACATATTTATTCGAAATATGCCAATTGAAATATTAAATATGATATATATTCGAATATTTTTTGTACACTAAAAAAAATTAGTACTCAAATTTTATATTGTTTTTTTTCCATTTTATTTAAACATTTCTTTCTCATAATGGCTTGCTGGAAGGTACAAATAATTCATTTATACTTATATTTATTTTACAGAGATCTGTATACAACATATTTTTTATCACTTACATCATACATGTGCATTGGATGGCTTGAAAAGTCTTCAATGTTTTTAAGAACTAATACATTTTTAATTATTCCGCATTCATATGCCTGCATATGGTTGCAGAACGTTTTAACTTCTATAGCATTACAGGCTACATTGTCAATTCATAAACGAAAGGAAGTACTTTAAACAGTCTTAGAGTATTACCAATCTTAATAGCTAAACAATAATTAGTTTTGTAAGTTATCTGTGAAATAAATAGTAAGATAAAAAAGAAAATTATAGATTTCATTTTAAAGAGATCCATTAAAATATTAATTTACCAATTTGCTTTGGCTAAAGATTTGAATCTGAAAAAAAACAACAAAAGAGCACACAAAATAGTTAAAAAGACAAAATCTGAATGTAGTCTGACTAAAATTACCAATTCCGACGCCCGCGAATCAGCATAATTTGGCCATGCTTTCAAAAACTCTGCTCCATGGGTTTTATTTCATTTTTCGATGACGAGATTCCAGTCTGAGATCTCCCTCATTAATTTCGTTTTGTCAACGAAGTACAAATTTCGTCAATATCTAGCAGTTTCAACTTTTTGTTTGGATCTCAACAGGAACCTCCAAGATTTTATCCAGTTTTATACGCTTCGTTCTGGAATTTGTATGTTTGCGAGGAAAGATATATAAAAAAGTTACTATTTATAATCAAACCTACTTTGCCGTATTCTTACTTTTAAAAATGTATTTATTTCTACGTTTTTTTCTTACCTATAATTTTGCCAGGAACGGTAAACGTGTGGGTAGATGAGTTGCAGGAAATGTACATGTGTGTGTTCGCTAGGGCACGCTGAACTTTGTTGGCGACCAAGCAACGGTAAACGCACGCTGTGATATATGTATGTGTGTGTGCTGCACTACAATGTACCCTTCAGTGCTGCAGTAGGGACGCGGCGACATTGTTCAAGGCAAAAAGCTTTTTTGTCTTTTTTTTTAGTGCCTAAAACGCTGTGCCACTGTTGACGTCAGCAGAGAAGTCTGCGCAGCGTAGAAGACTGCCTACGAAAACGATCGTGCAACAAAGAGAGGCAGATATTCGGAGGTTCCCTGTCTTTCTTTGTCTTATAATCTGCCTGCACTCGGCGCTCTCAGAGACTAATTTCGGCCGGTCCGTTATTTCGTTTGCGTCTCTTCGTTATGTTCGGCTAGCGACTAATGATTCGGCGGAAAAATTTTCGTGGCGCAGCGACATGTGAATGCCCTAATGTTTAAGGAGCATTATTGTATATAAAAAAAAACAAGGAAGAACGCTATAGTCGAGTACCTCGACTATCAGATACCCGTTACTCAGCTATATGGAGATATGCAAGCAGCAAAGCGAGATTAAAATGCGCCACCTACCGGCGGTATACAGATTTAAGCGTTATGGGCGTTAGAGTGGGCGTGGCAAATTTTTTTTTGGATCAATCGATAGGTATCGACGAGACCAATACATTTCAGTTAAAATTTTTTATCTAGCATGAAAATTGTGGGCGTCACAGGTTTTCGCGGTTTGTGGGCGTTAAAGTGGGCGTGGCAAACTTTTTTTTGGGTCAATCGATAGGTATTGATGAGAACAATACACTTCAGTTAAAATTTTTATTCTAGCATCAAAACTGTAGGAGCCACAGTTTTGGGCGGTTTGTGGGCGTTAGAGTGGGCGTGGCACTGTGCCGAAACAAACTTGCGCTGCGTAAGAAGCTCAGGAATCTTTACGCCAAATCTCAATAGCTTAGCTCCCATAGTTTCCGAGATCTCAGCGTTCATCCGGACGGACAGACAGACGGACAGACGGACAGACGGACAGACGGACAGACGGACAGACGGACATGGCTAGATCGACTCGGCTAGTGATCCTGATCAAGAATATATATACTTTGTGGGGTCGGAAACGCTTCCTTCTGCCTGTTACATACTTTCCGACGAATCTAGTATACCCTTTTACTCTACGAGTAACGGGTATAACAACTAATATTGTTTTATAAAAGTAAATTATTTGATTATAGTAAAATTAAGTAAATCGAATTTACTTTTAATGTTATGCTTACTTATTATATGTTAATATTACAATATAATTTTTTAGTTAATTTATAGAAATTGAGTACGTTAAAATTGATTTAAATATTTAAAACATTTAAATATTACCATTATTAGAAATTATACATTCGGATATTTTTCGCTTTAGGAAGGGTTTAGGTGCAGTGGCACGCGCCAACTGCGAAGAGAAAACAAAAGCTTTTCATTTGAATTTTCACTTGTGAAAATGCGGACATCCCATACAATATTTTAAATGGAGCGTCACTACCCTTCAGTTCTGCAGTAGGGACGCGGTGACATGGCTCAAGGCAAAAAGCTTTTTCTGTTTTTTTTTGTGCCTAAAACGCTGTGCCGCTGTTGACGTCAGCAGAGCAGTCGGCGCAGCGTAGAAGACTGCCCACAAAAACGATCGTGCAACAAAGAGAGGCAGATATTCGGATATTTCTCTCTCTTTCTTGTCTTATAATCTGCCTGCACTCCGCGCTCGCAGAGACAAATTTCGGCTGGTCCGTTATTTTTTTTTGCGTCTCTCCGTTATGTTCGGCTTGCGACTAATATTTCGACGGAAAAATTTTCGTGGAGAAGCGACATGTGAATGCCTTAATATTTTAGGAGCATTATTGTGTATCGAAAAACAACTAATAAAAAAAACAACTAAAAGTAAACTATTTGATTTTAGTAAAATTAAGTAAATTGAATTTACTTTTAATGTTATGCCTACGTATTATACATTAATATTACAATATAATTATACCCGTTACTCGTAGAATAAAAGGGTATACTAGATTCGTCGGAAAGTATGTAACAGGCAGAAGGAAGCGTTTCCGACCCCATAAAGTATATATATTCTTGATCAGGATCACTAGCCGAGTCGATCTAGCCATGTCCGTCTGTCCGTCTGTCCGTCTGTCTGTCCGGATGAACGCTGAGATCTCGGAAACTATGAGAGCTAGGCTATTGAGATTTGGCGTACAGATTCCTGAGCTTCTTACGCAGCGCAAGTTTGTTTCAGTAGACTGCCACGCCCACTCTAACGCCCACAAACCGCCCAAAACTGTAACTCCTACAGTTTTGATGCTAGATAGAAAATTTTAACTGAAATGTATTGTTCTCATCAATACCTATCGATTGACCTAAAAAAAGTTTGCCACGCCCACTTAAACGCCCACAAACCGCGAAAACCTGTGACGCCCACAATTTGCATGCTAGATAACAAATTTTAACTGAAATGTATTGGTGTCGTCAATACCTATCGATTGATCCAAAAATAAATTTACCACGCCCACTCTAACGCCCATAACGCTTAAATCTGTCTACCGCCGGTAGGTGGCGCATTTTAATCTCGCTTTGCTGCTTGCATATCTCCATTTCCCTTTGAGTAACGGGTATCTGATAGTCGAGGTACTCGACTATAGCGTTCTTCCTTGTTTTTAAGTTAAGTTATAGAAATTTTGTTCGTTAAAATTTATTTAAATATTTCAAAACATTTTAATAGTACCATTTTTAAAGAATTCCTTTTTATATTTTTTACTCAAAAAAGTAAAAGTTATGTAGTCGGATATTTTTCGCTTTAGAAAGGGTATAGGTGTAGTGGCACGCGCCAACTGCGAAGAGAAAACAAAAGAAATCATTCATTCTGTTTGAGTAATTGAAAGGGAAGCAAGCCATTTAAATTGTGCGCAGCAGATTTACTTCTTTCGTTTTTTAAAGTGTAAACAATAAAGTCAGGTAAGTGTTTCAATAAGTTGAAGATGTTGTGCATTGATCTTAGTTTAAAGTATTAAGGTATTCAATGGGTTCCGTTAGCCGAAAGTGGATGATGAAATGTTTTGCGCCAATAAAAATCCTGCAAAGGGTGAAACACAGCTCTAAAAGGTAAATATGCAAGTAAACAAATAAAACGCATTTTTTAAGCATATGTCCATAAATTTTATCAGGAGCGTTGGCCAAGGATTCGGAGGACCCGGACAAAGGTTTAAGGAAGGCGATGACTAATGTTAAAAATAAACTTACCAAGCAAAAACACAGAAATAATAACTGTACAATTTTTGAAAATCTTAATAATACTGTATAATTAAAATTAATTAAAATGAAATTAAATATGTATGTATTTTAAATTCTATTTTTTTATAATTGAAAACTCAAGGAAAAATTTTGATTTTCCCAAGTGATTCACTTGGGACGTGTCCCTTGCAAGTGATTTCACAAGTGAAAACTCAAGGAAAAATTTTGATTTTCCCAAGTGATTCACTTGGTACGTGTCCCTTGCAAGTGATTTCACAAGTGAAAACTCAAGGAAAAATTCTGATTTTCTCAAGTGATTTACTTGGGATGAGTCACCGGCACGTGACAGGCCATACGAAAAATGAGTATAAGGAACAAGTGAAATCCCGTAGGACTTCGAAAAATTTTCATTTGAATTTTCACTTGTGAAAATGCGGACATCCCATACAATTTTCTATATGGAGCGTCACTTGTTCTTCACTTGTGCAAGAGGACATGTCCTCTTACTTACACTTACCTGACTTTATTGTTTTCACTTTAAAAAACGAAAGAAGTAAATCTGCTGCGCACAATTGAAATGGCTTGCTTCCTTTTCAATAACTCAAACAGAATGAATGATTTCTTTTGTTTTCTCTTCGCAGTTGGCGCCCTTCAGTTCCAAAAAAAAAGTTTCACTTGTGAATCACCTTGGGAATCACCTGGGACATGTCCTCGTGCACAAGTGAAGAACAAGTGACGCTCCATATAGAAAATTGTATGGGATGTCCGCATTTTCACAAGTGAAAATTCAAATGAAAATTTTTCGAAGTCCTACGGGATTTCACTTGTTTCTTATACTCATTTTTCGTATGGCCTGTCACGTGCCGGTGACTCGTCCCAAGTGAATCACTTGGGAAAATCAGAATTTTTCCTTGAGTTTTCACTTGTGAAATCACTTGCAAGGGACACGTCCCAAGTGAAACACTTGGGAAAATCAGAATTATTCCTTGAGTTTTCACTTGTGAAATCACTTGCAAGGGACACGTCCCAAGTGAATCACTTGTGAAAATCAGAATTTTTCATTGAGTTTTCAATTAAAAAAATATAGAATTTAATTCATTTCATTTTAATTCATTTTAATTATATGGTACTATTTAGATTTTCAAAAATTGTACAATTATTGTTTCTGTTTTTTTGCTTCGTAAGCTTATTTTTAACGTTAGACATCGCCGTTCTTAAACCTTTGTCCGGGTCCTCTGAATCCTTGGCCAACGCTCCTGAAAAAACATATGTTTAAAAAATGCGTTTTATTTGTGTAATTGTATATTTACCTTTTATAGCTGTGTTTAACCCTTTGCAGGATTTTTATTGGCACAAAACATTTCGTCATCCACTTTCGGCTAACGGAACCCATTGAATACCTTCAAAATTTACGTACTTTAAACTAAGATCAATGCACAACATCTTAAACTTAATGTAGCACTTACCTGACTTTATTATATTAACTAAACGATTAAAGTAACTCTGCTGCGCACCATTAACATTGATGCTTCCCTTTCAATCACTCAAACAGAATGCACCAAGTCTTCTCACCCCTTTACTAGATTTCTTTTGTTTTCTCTTCGCTGTTGGCGCGTGCCACTGCACCTATACCCTTTCTAAAGTGAAATATATCCGACTATATAGTTTTTACTTCTTGAGTAAAAAATACAATACGATTTTTTTTTAAATGTTAAAACTTAAATGTTTTAAATACTTAAATCAATTTTAACGGACTAAATTTCTATAACTTAACTAAAAAATTATATTGTAATAAGAATGTATAATAAGTAAATATAACATTATAAGTAAATTCAATTTACTTAATTTTGCTATAATCAAATAATTTACTTTTATAAAACAATATTAGTTGTTTTTTTTCGATATACAATAATGCTCCTAAAATATTAGGGCACTCACATGTC